ATAATCAACGAAAGAAGGCATTCCCAACGGTGCGTCTTAAGACACGCCGTAGGAAAATTTAAATTAGTAGTTCGTTTTGTTATTCAGCGCAGTGCGCGCAAGCATTGGCACGACGCACAGGCGCACGTGGTTGCTATAATTCGTCGGATCAGTGCGCGACATCGCGTATAGCTGCAATTCAAAACAATTCAAAACATGATTCAGCAACTTTTGATTTGAAATTGAGATCCTAGAATGCTGTTTTTCTCGGAATATACAGCTGAAGCTGAGCTGAAACTTCATCAGGTTAGTTGTTCAGTATCGTTCATTAGATTTTGAGCACTTTTGTTGCTTCAAACGAACAAATGCACAAATTACAAATGATGGACTATATCTTTAATTAACTCTAACTCGCTACTTAGTTTTACCATACCAGTAGGTAGAAGAACATGTCCGTCAAAATCCATCAAGTCCTCTCTCTGCTTCACATAATGCTTCAGGACCAAATCCGTTGAAATCCACCACTGGTGCTTGTGGATTTTGATGGACTTGGTACACATGGCTTATCAGCCAGTATCCCCCAAGATAGGGAATGGATTTTGATGGATTTTGTAAGGTTAGGGTTACCAAAGTCAAACAGTGGGCATATTCAGTTGGATTGTTGATCGGAGCAGTGCGCAAGGTTTACGTACTGGTACATTGTACATTATAAAACTTTACGCCGTCTTTTCGTTGGATTATGTTGGATTCAGCTGGCGCCTCCCATGCTGCTGTTAGATTTTGTTGCACAGTGCAGATATCTCAATAATTTCGTTGGATTTTGTTTGCTTCAGCAGGGTGTGCAGGGCAACCATGCCTTCATCTGAAACTGTTGATACGTTTGACTGGCTACTTAAAATATAGAGCATGCAGGCTGAACAGTAGAAATGTTTCCAGAACTTACAGAACTTTAGAATGCGTCAGAAAACACTTGCACAAAGTTGCAGTTTGCAATATTTTTGTAAGATGATACAGTTTTGCCGATTCAGAACAGATTTCCCTGGAAAGAAAAAAAAATCTGATTTGCTTTGTCAAAAACAGAAAAAAAATCTCACACTTCATGTACTTGTTCTGTCCCAGTTTTTCAGGAATCGAGGTCCTGAAATCAGATCAGTGGCATCGAACGCACCTGTGCGATATTTACCTACATCACGGCTACATGTATTGTAAGACATCTCTAATTTTAGAGCCTGTTTCTGGGAATCTGTATCGCTCTGATGTTACTTTTGGAAAGTAGTTTGTTGAATGAGTTTCCAGTGAAAGGATTTAAGTTTAGGAATGTACGTGCACATCTGTTTGTTGCAAAGGGACTTGGCTTCTATAGTATATGGGATGGTGGCAAAGATTGAACAACTTTTTGTTCCTATTATGACATATTTTGTGGTCCTTGTTTGCAGACATTAACCCTAACCTTCCCAAATCCTCCAAAATCCTCTTCCCACAAGTGTCAGTTGATTTTGGAGGATGCATTGTGTCAAGGTCTTATGCTGTACATGTACCTCGTGTTGTTTATGTTTTATTATAGCCATGCATAAATTCATGCCTCTAGATAATACTCGAAATCATCTACTGTGCTTCTGGATATCATCAGCACTACCTCAATGTACTTGTATTAAAGGGAAGATACATGTACAACATTTGCAAACATCAAACAATGAAATGATCAAATTATCACAAACTACCTTACTGGACTGTTAGGGAGTGACAGTCTAAAGCATCCTATAAAATCGTGGCTCCTGGTATGCTGACCAGTGTTGAAGAAAACTGATGTTTTTTTTAAAAACTGCTTCTTATTTTCAAATTTAGTCATTCCGCATTTTCTTTGCAATTGATTACACACCTGTTAAGGGGTACAAGCCTGCCAGATTGATTCTCTGACCTTACAATTGCCCAAAGTCAATAAATTGCTCTGTTTCATCTTAAGTGGGGTCAGGGAACCAGACTACAAGAACATGATTGGTTTCTTGGTTTTCTATCATCTACAAACCCAAAACGTGAAACAAGTCAGTTTAACAATATTTGCTATAACATACTAATCCTCCAAATCCATATATTTCTGAAAATTGCTGCAAAAGCCCTTTAACGGTGATTGTTGGAGGATTTTACAGGGTTGAGACAGTGGTCATCACCCCCCCCACTGAACAAATTCAAGAAATAAAAGAGGATTTTTGGGGATTGAGGCTGAATCCAATTTTGACTTGGAGGCAGTTGGAGGATTTCAAAGGATTGAGGGTGCATCGTAGCACAAAGGCCTAGGGGGTTAGGGTTAGAGTTATTAACAAATTTCTCGCCAAAGTGCATGCACATATCTGTACGTGTCTAGATATGTATGCACTATAGACTTGTAACGTAATCGTATACCGACAGGTTTTTCATGTCTTTTGTGCCATTCTTGTGCACTACATCAAAGCATGGATCATTTCACACCTGGACAGATTGCAATGAAACCACAATATTTGTGGCTTACAAATCAAAGAAACATTAAAGCATATTAAAAGCGTGGTAGTTTGTAAGCATCCACTTGTCCTGAATTTGAGCCATTCAAATTCAAAGGGACAAAAAAGCGGATGTGGTTTCCATAAATAATGCAGACTAAGAAATGGAAGCAATCCATGAACATGTGAATGGTGCAGCAGCTGGTGGTAGTGGAATGTAGCAATGTACATGTATGTAGTTACATGTACCGGTACATACCGTACATTGTATTGCAGCATCTGTGCAGAAATAAATCAAGACAATATTTAGACAGTTTTTGAAAGATTAAGTTGGAGATTAGGTATAAAACAGCAAAACATTTCTCCATTTCTTCCTGGAGATTTGTGGCCTTTTCACATTATAGTCTCGCCTACCTGTGTTGTATTAAATCAACACGGCTCACCATAAACTGAACCAGGAACCGTCAAACATTACATGTACATCCCATGATTCACAATTGCACCGACCAATACGTGTGTACACGAGTCTGCTGTAGATTTTGGATTTTCTACCTGGGTAGAGCCTGATCCTGCAGGTCCTGACGGGGTTGGATTTTACACGTGTAGTGTAGAGCAATGTTGGATTCTTGCTAGTGTGAAAGGGGTAGAATATGCGTTAAAAAAAATGGAAATGAGGGGAAAAGAGGCAAAAGGTACTGTAACAGTAACCCTAATGTACCTGAATCCATCAAAATCCACATAACCCTGTTTTGGAGGATTTCATCGGATTCAGGATACCTCAATATTGAAAGAGTTGGTGAATTTTGATGGATTTAGGACAGTAAGCCTAGCGGTACTGCAGGATTTGGATGGATTCAGGATACCTCCATATTGAGCAGTTGGGGGAATTTGATGGATTCAGGATCTCAACAGTTTAACTCCTTGCATGTTTGGTGTGTATGAGGTACTACATGTACACTGGTGGATTCTGATGGACTCACTGGTGGATAATGATGGACTCACTGGTGGATTCTGATGGACTCAGGACACCAACATTTTTTGCATGACAAAATTGGTGGATTTTGGCAGATTCAGGATACTTTCTAGTAAAAGTGCTCAAGGGGTTAGGGTTAAAGTAAAAAAAAAAGAAGTGAAGTCTGTCACGAGCCAATATGGCCCATCAGGCCCGCGTTTATCTCCGGTTTCAGTGGCGTGAAACGACTGAGAATATTTTTGGTTGCCCCAGGATGGGATGCCAGTCCATCGCAGGTAATAGATTTGCTTATATAGTAGGCCTAGTTGTACACGTGTACATTGAAAAGAGACCAAACCCAGTGAGGAAATCAATTGCCCGTTTGAAGTGTTGTCTTTAACTGTCAACCCCTTTGACTGTTTTTGGTGTCACTCTGAACGCCGGGTCAAATCAATAAGGGCACATCTGACAATATCCGCTTGGATCCAGCATAGAGGTTAGCCCGTACATGTACATGTACATGCACACAGGTATGTGTAAATTGCCTCAAATGGTATTATGAAAATCACACTTTGGGCTGCCCATGTCATACATGTACAACGTAGTATGATGATGTCGTATTGTCAACATTTTTGAGTGTTTTTGTTGCACCTTAAGTGCTGCATCACGTGGAAAGAATTAGTTGAACCGGTACTTTATTTTTTGAGTATGAATGACTTGTTCATTGATTACATTTAAGTGGTTGGGAGAAATACTGTTGGATCTGTGAATACTATGGGGGAGGGGGTAAAGGGAGTTAATTTCACAGAAAACAAAGTAACAAACAGACTTGTAGTGATAAAATAAGTTGAATGAATGATTAGACCGATGAAAGTGATTTAATGAAAAAGAATTGGAAGGAAAAAAAAAATCAAAATTTTTTAAATTACGGTACCATGCACTAGTGGTTCTAAATGAGTGAAAAAAAAAACAAACCCCAAAACAACTTATGCGTGTAGTCGTACTTTAAATACAGGCCCAATATCTAAAAACTGCCCACATTTATTTTTGGCACATTTGGATTATAAATTCCCAGACTACGTCATTCATCAAGTGGCAATTTTTAGCACGGATGTCGTTTTGTCCTGTTTCCAGAAATCTGCTCACGGTACAGTGAAAAGAACTGAAGCATAGCTGCATGCCCGGGTGAAATATATATATTCTTATGAATGAGAAATCCTGAAGTGAATTCCATTACACAGGGGATGACATTGATACTCTCTGGGAATAATATTGTCTCACATGGTTGAAATCCAGGACAGGAACGCCCCTTTTTCCACAAAAGGTGTTTCTCCTGTGTGCATTGGAACTCGAAACAGGATATAAATTTGTACGTGCAAGCTTTTGTTCACGGAATAAAAACATTAAAAAAACCAAAAAAAAATTGCTGTCAGCAAGTTTCCCTATGCAGAACTGTGGTCTATTATGAAGTATTGCCTCACGGATTTCCCGGAACTTGTCATTTCCTGGTTGGAGAAAAAGAAAAAAAATAGACCTTGCAGGACCTGATCACGTAACACTCTGCGATTATCATTGGCAGATATCAATGACCACTGGGTATGTGTGTGACGCTGCTTTGTCTGTTACTGAATTCAGCTTTTGTATACCGTGCCTTTAGACTGTTATCTGGTTGACCGTCCCAGGCTCAGCGACTTGCGTGTATCGTGTTGTTTTTCTGGGAATTTTCCTGTACGTTCACCAGTCCCAAATTACCAACTTCATTGTCACTCAGCCTGCAGTGCTGGAGAATACTGCTTGATTTAATACCGTCATCAACTGCTGTCAAACTGCTCTACACAGACATTGAAGTTGCTATGCGTCTTATCAATTCGTGAGACCAGAGACCGTCACGTCATGATCATTGTTGAATCCAACTGCACAATTTTTGTATAAATCTGAGCATAAGTTTGTAAACTGTCACAATTATTAACAGAACTTGCAACTGTAGCGAAGTTTTAGAACGCTTGGCTTGCAGAAATTTCTTACATTTAAAGAAGGAAAGCACACTTTGGTACAATTCTGGACTTACAAACTTAAAGTTGTTAAACTGGTGTCTGGTACAGTTGAGGCAAGACTGAGAACTGTTTCATCAGTGTTGAAGCAGACTTCACGTCGTGTGCGTTTGACATCAAACTGTCACATTGTATTCAAGTCACTCGATCTGGTTCTGTTGGTTCGGCTGTCTGAGGTACGGTTGTGACCATGTTAGTAGTGGCAGTACATAACGGACCGACTGTCAACGAAGCCATGCCGGTTGACATGGGAAGTTCAGGAGATACTGGTAACAGTGATGAGAATATGCAGGGAGATTGCATGGAGGGAGATCTTCTGGAAGTAAGTGGACACATCAATGTCAAACTTGTACTATACATGTACATGTGTAGCCATTGAAATGCTACATACATACATACAAACTGTATTCACATGCTTTTCCATATGTACATGTGTATGTTTGTACGTATGTTCATACATGTACGTGTTCATGTATGACCATGCAGTCACATTTTAATACAAATTGTTCATCTACATGTAAATATTTACAATCTAGTACAATGTACAAATATACATACATGTACATGCACATGTATGTGTACATGTACATGATACATGTACATGTACATACATGTGTGCAATCTAAATGTACAAGGTTGCACTCATGGTACCGGCCGGTAGTTTAATTTGTACATGCGCTGTTTATGTAAAGATATGACATTGAAACATGTACATGTACATTACTGTGTATACTCCATACATAGGCGCTGTACATGTACATGAATGAATTCACCCACCAGGTCCATAGTGGGCATGTGAAGGATGATTTCAATGACACATGTGGTGTTAGAATGGATAATTGACATTGTGGGAGTACCTTGATAGTGGGAGTAGTGGCCTTCTTATTGTTAATTTTGTGGTAAAATGACAAACAAATGACAAAGTAGATTAAGATTCAATTCAGTTTATTTGAATCTGAACCTTTAAGTCTCATTCAGTTTATTTGATTATAATGTACTGATTTTTTTTTCTCCAAACGACACCGTCATTCAGTGTTACAACTGGTGTGTATTGGGGGGTTTCCCTTTGGCTACAGAGATTACGTACATGTAAAACGTATGTATGTTTGCACATTCAAATAAAAAAAAACCCCTCAAAACAACATGATATTTTCTGTGTACACATGTTTTCATGCATACACATGTACATGTACACATATAGAGCCTGTGAAATGTTTCTACATGGGCACATAGAGTGCTAATCATACTGTGCGCATGATATACATGTACATGTACAATGTACATGTACAGTAATACTGAATTTCGGTAATACATGTATCAATAGAGTTTATACATGTACAAAACAATGTCAAGAGGGGTCTTTTACTTGACACAGATGTATTGTTACTGTTTTTGTGAACTGTGTTCTGTTGTATCTTAACTCAAGGATTTATGATGTTTGATAGAATTTCGTATCAGGAAAGCATGAATATTGAAAATCATACCCCACTACTAAAATTGAAGTACTTATGATCGGTTGTCAATTTGTTTTGTCTTTTTCCTAGGCCACACATCTGTTCCTGGACCATTTAAACAGAGTACGGGCAGAGTACAACGTGGCCCCGGTATCATGGAAGACCGCCGTACGATTCCTGATGGCGAGGAAATTTGATGTGAAGAGGGCACTAGAATTATTCAAGAACCATGCGGTAAGTGGCCCAAACTCGAGACGTTTCACATTTTGTGTCTGGCAAGGGTGAGATTCGTCAGGATTTCTTTTTTAACCTATAAAAGTTTCTTAGAACAAAAGAAATAGGTAATTTTACGGGGTGCTTTTGGGCAAATTCAAACTTTTTCTTGGTCCCTCAGCAGCCCCTGAAACCCTCTGCTGATTATTTTGTGAATATTTCAAATTCTCCCAATGCCATACTCATTCTAGTTTTTCTACACTCAACCAAAAAGAAAGTCCCCCCCTTCCAATACTTTTTTTTCAAACTCAAAAACTACTGAGCACCTCCACTCAATTAACGACTAATCAGTACAAAAATTCCTCAGCAACCCAGCAATACTCTTTATTTGTCCAAAAACAGTGATCATGTGTACGAAATTATGCAATTTATGGAAAATGATACCGAACACCATTGCACTTTTGTATACGTGCTTGAGTTGTGGTTCACACTCACCTTGCAAGTATACAAAAGTGCAACTTTTTTTTCAGTAACGTTTGTCATAAATTGCATGATTTTGTACACATTATCACAGTTTTGGGCCAAACAAAGAGTATGGCTGGATTGCTAAGGAATTTCTGTACTGATCAGTCGTAATTTGAGCACGATGAGCCCAGTAGTTTTTGAGTTAGACAAAAAAGTATTAAGGGGGGACTTTCTTTTTGGTTGAGTGTATAAATATCCTACTCGATACATGTGATAGTGTAGTTTAAAAGACCTCTTTTATCATACTGGCAGTTATACATTTGTCCGTGTATAGCAAGCACATTTGCCTATTGTTGGATACATGGACATGTACATACATTGTTACGTACATGTACGGTACCTGAACAGTACGTGGTTACCTTGTAAAATTTATTCAAACCTGACCCTTATCCAACCCTGAAATTTGATTGTGTGTAAAGCCATTCCAATCAGTATTTTGAAACGATAATCATTTCTGGGTCATTATTGTGAGTGACCCACTTAGACAAAACCAAGCAGAAGTCACTGGGGCCGTTGTGAATAGTGGCCATTTGGATAGATTGGAAAGGTGGGCGACAATTGACCCATGATATTTAGCGGTTTGACATTTCTCATTTTTAAAAAATTATATACAGTATGAAATATCAAATGGAATTTGCAAGTGTGCTCCTTTTTCTCCCCCACAGTTTTGCATCAATGTTAATAATAATAATAATACTTATTATTACCCTGGATTGGACATTTGGGAGACATCCCCATAGACTTGTGCACAAAATTTTTCAAACTTAAATGTGCCCTAACCCAATATTCCCTTGTCCTTTTTCCACAAATTTCGATACGTTTACTAACTAGACCACGAGCAACAAATATCACCTAATTGTGACAATAAAATTGTACCTCTAAAAGGGGGGGGGGGGGCTGTGACATTATAATGACCGATGTCTCCCACCGTGCAAAGAAATTACGATAACGTGTCTCCTTAGTGGTACCTTTACACGTATAATGTGGTCCTTATAAAGCGCTTTATACCAAAGGTCTCATAGTGTTTCACAATTATTACCCCAGTTCATCAGGCCATGAGACCAGGTTTTGCAGCAGCTCGAGATCAGCGCATTCTGGTCTCTACCTTCACAGGTACCCATTTATACTCCTGGGTGGAGAGAGGTAATTGTATTTGGGCAAGTGTCTTGCCCCAAAAAACACAAGCACTATGTTCCCCATCAGAGTTTGAACCCACAAGCCTCCTCAAATTTTTGTACCAAGGAACACCAAGGAATGGGGAAATTGCACCAAGGCAAATGATAAAGGGCACCAAGGCAAATTATGGAGGACACCAATGTATAATGAGGACACAAAAAAGCAAAATAGTACCCACCTTGTCTGTACAATACAAGCGTGAAAAAAAAAAGCCACCAAAAAAACCAAAAAAACGCGTCGCCGCATCAATTCCGGAACTTCGGTCTGACCAGAGACCGACTATTTTTTTTTTTGGCCTTACAGTGCAGTTTTTGAAATTCTACCAGTAAGGTGGATACATCCCTCAAAAAAAAATTCCAAACTTCAAACTTGGACATATGTTCATGTCTTCAAAGGACAGTCATATGGAAAAGACAGTAACTTCCTAAATGAGCAGCCCCTAAATTGCTCAATCTGAACTTGAGATGTTTCCATCTGATGTCATCTCTTGATGAGCAGGACCGTAATAGGAAAAGGAATTTACAAATCAGACGGAACGAACATAAAATTCACGCCATGGTGATCTCGATGGAAAGGCAATCTTGTACTGTACAGGTTTGCCAGGGCAAGACTAGCGTCGCAATTAATTGACCATGTGTGTGTGGCAGAGGACTCCTTAAGACTCTAGGCCAACCTTCTTGAATAATAATAATATTATTACGTTTGATCCTGGGGAGCCACCACAAGTACATTACAGGCACACAATCTTCACATTCCTGTAACTTGTTAGCTTTGAATGAAATTTTATTTTTTATTTGTAAATTTGTTGAGCATTTTTACATTTTAAGACCGACATTTTTGGGGGGGGCTGATCTTTGAGTGCCCATAGTTCTATTTTGTATCTGGCTGACTCATTCACTGGCTGACTCACTCCCCAACTCACTGACTGACTATCCCTTGTGACTGAGAGTGTTTTCGAAACTACTGACTTTGGCTTCGTCTTGGGCTTTTTTTAGGCCCCCAACTTCGGGAACTCCAGCTACATTTTGGTGCCTGTTATGCTTTAGGAACATTCAATCGGTTGATATGAAACCAAAAGTTTGAATACTTTGTTTAGTTCACCTCTCGGTGATTCAGAAGTCGGAGGCAAATCTGAAGCCGAAGAGGAAGCAAAGGTTTTGAAAAACCTCCCAAGTCTGATTGTTGGCTAGTGATGGGAGCCGGGCAGAGCTAACGTATAAGATTATCCCGTGATGGGCTAAATCTGGCCCCCAGATGCATGAACACACCTCCAGTGAAAGGCCATTCTGAATCAATTGAATAGAATTTTGAGTGCTCTAGGATCAACTTTACTTGGTTTGCAATATGTCTTGTCTTTGAAATAACCCTAAGTGCGATGATCTGTTTTGGTACTGGTTACAAGATTTACGTTGTATCGATGTCCTTCAGCCATCTTATAATGAACATGTACATGTAGTCAAACTGTTAACGATGCCGAGAAAATTAAATTGGAAATCAGATAAATTGGCAGACATTCCATTGAAAGTTGTTCTTTGTCAATACGAGGAAAAAGAACTCCCTGTGCACTAGCGGTATTCAATAACACCACAAATAGAGCCTTTTAATACTATTGTCATGGGCTGTTGCTTTTACAAATTCAACCTTCAAGAAGGTCATTGTAGGTCTAGACACTGTTAATATTAACCCTAACCTCCCTGAATTCATCAAAATCCATACCCCTGTTAGGGTTAATGTCTGCACTTTAAATGGTTTGGTGATTTGGCAGTGAATACTTGAATGCACCCTCAACTGAGACATTTTGAATAAGGCTATCTCAACGATTTATTGCTTAAGTCTTGTGTTTCTTCTTTAAAAAATTTTTTTTATATTTTTTTTAGCAATGTGGTTTGTGCTGCATCATGTGCAGAATGTGATGGAATTTACCAATCCTCCCCCCCCCCCCCGAAACCACACAATGAGGCACATTTCTGTTGAAAAACATTTTAGTGGTTCTGGTACTTACAATATGTATGCACTGAGATTGTGACACGTGCACGTATGCTTCCTTGCCATTTTTATGTACTTATAGTGATACCATAGGAAAATGTACATGTACATGTGCATGTACAGTTACCATTCAAGCATGCATTTGCATGCACACATGTATAGACAGTGAACATGTATTTTTAACCCAGATTTCAAAATGCTGCATACAACAGTATTCTACGACTGTATTCACAGTAAGCATGGAGCGTAGAGTTTCCACATGTAAATGTAGACAAAAAACAAATGTACATGTACATGTATGCCCACGAATTTATGCAGATTAAAATTTAACAAATTCACAATCGACCCTCAGTGTTTTTATCAGTGTGTAATTTTTGTGTGAACCACAGGCACTGAGACAAAGGGAAGGCCTGGGCCACTTATCACCCACGGAGGAACCTCTGAGCAGAGAGTTGCTCAGTGGAAAGTTCACTATTTTGGTAAGTTTGAAACTAAAATAAAAATACTTACAAAAGTAGGCAATTCAAAGTTCTTAATATGGAAACAGGTGGAAAGTGTTTCAATACATAAGTCCATAGCATCTTCCTGTTGCAAGTGTACATTGAAAACCATTATGTATTGCATTCTCACTACTGATAAGGGACAAGACTGCTTTTGACATTGAAACCAATGACGAAAATAGGCTGGTGCCTCATTTGGACTCCCTTCATTTGAACCTCTTTTGACAGGAAGCTAGTCCATAATGGCTTCCATCCTAGGCTGGTGCCTTACATTAAGTCCCTTCATTAGAACCCTTGCTGATAGGAAACTAGACCCTAATGGCCACCACCCTAGGCTGGGGCCTTATGTCTATGTACCCTCAATTGAATCCCTCTTCTGACAGGTCACTAGACCATAAGGCTGGTGCCTTATACTAAGTCTGTTCATTAGAACCCCTCTGCTGACAGGGAACCTGACCGTAATTGCTTCCACCCAAGGCATGTCCCATATATGTATGCACCCTCATATGAACCCCTTTGCTGACAGGAAACTAGACCGTAATGGCCGCCACTTTAGGCTGAAACCTTTTATTAATGTACCCTCATTTGAACCCCTCTGCTGACAGGAAACTAGACAATAATGGCCACCACCCTAGGCTGGTGCCTTATATTTACGTATCCTCATTTAAACCCCTTTGCTGACAGGAAACTAGACCATTATGACCTCCGCTTTAGGCTGAAGCTTTATACAAAATCCACTCATTAGAACCCCACTGTTGACAGGAAACTAGACTGAAATGGTCACCACGTTAAGCTGGTGCCTTATATTGCATGTACATGTACATGTACATGTAGTTCCTTCATTGGAACCCCTCTGCTGACAGGAAACTAGACCATAATGGCAACATGTGTGCTATGACCTTGTGATGTGTTAGGTGTATTAGTTTCTCAACTTTTCCTCAGCCACAGAGAGACACAACAGGGGCAGCCATTGCATTATTCTCAGCCAAGCTACATGCTCCCAATGCAGTACCAATGCAGGCTGTCCTACAGGCAGTGGTCTTCCAGCTGGACCATGCCTTGTCAGAGTAAGTCCAGATTTGTGTTTGTGTGTGGTAATAATGTCGGGCTGTTTATCGCCAGAACGACTTGATTTTCTGTTCACCCTAACCAACCCCAACCCTTCAAAATCCAACTGCATGTTTGTTGGAATCTGTTGGAGTGAGTGCTGCACCATTAAACTGATTATGCTTTACATGGGGTGAGGCAACAGTTTGGTTGTAGAGTTTACCATATGGTGTTGGATTCTGTAATAGTGACGTAAGGTTCCTAGTAAATCACTCAAGGGGGTTAGGGTTAAGGCAGAAAGTCACAGTGAGCGGTTCAATATGATTGCTTAATCTTTACTAGGCAATTTTGCACAATTTTATCAACTCCCACTTAAAGCAACAGGTGTAGGGGATGTCATGTTATAGTATTGATATCAGAGAATCTGAAAAAGTTAACATGTGTTGCCATTAATGGGAGTCGTATGGAGTAATTTTGCTTGTGGTGCCATCATAGATCTCACTGTCTATATATTAATGCTGCGGTGGGCTTTGCTTTTCCATAATTCAACAAAGTAAATATGCATAGAATGATCTACATGTAATGCGTTAAAGAGTCCCGTGTCTTGCTGACATCTCTGAGGATACCCCGTTCATCATGGCCGTACGGGGAGTGGACCCTCTTAACATTTCATTTCCTCAATTGGCACAGCGACTGTTACCTGTCCCTTAACGTCAGTCCGACACATAACTCATCCTTCAGGATTTTCTTGGCGGTTTGTATCATCCGATTGTCGACTGAGTGCCTCTTAGCCTAAGCCAACGCAAGGATTGTGGATTTGTCTGTCAGTGCGTTGTTGAAGTATTGATTGGGTTATTAGCTTGTCGAGATTTCCCATGAGTCATCTGAGGAGAGAGAGAGAGAGAGGGGGGGGGGGGCTTAGCCTGGATGTAGAATAGAGAAATAGAGATACGTTGGGCTTAACATTGCTCTTTCTCTCTCTGGCCTGAATGAGTGTGGGGGGTGAAATTTTGGGATCGTTTGGGGGGAATTTTACTTGTGTTGGATTTAAAATTTCAGTTTCAAATAGTTTAAAAAAGACACAGCAATCCTTTATGTTTTTCTTTTTAATTTACCGATAAATTTGTAAAGGGGTAAGAGATTAACAGTATAGTTAGCAATGTTTATAAATAGTTGCCCTGTATATTTGTACAAATAGTTTTAAAAAAGATGGAAACAAATGTCATATTATCAAAAAAGAAAATGAGTTATAGTCATGATTTATGTTGATTTAGGATGTCTGGTTTTTAAATAGTTTGCTTTCTCAGCTTGCAAATTGGGGAAAAGATCCAGAATTGGAGTTTTAGGAACTGGGAACTTCCATTGTTTATCATTCACGTTTTGTCCTCCAAGTAAATAGACTACAACTTTACATCAGGCACAGAATATTGATGGCAGACAAGTCGGCTCCTCATGCATAAAGATGATCACCTTACTCAGACTCTGCACTTTGTAGAATTAAAGAGCCATCAAGCTGACATGTTAATTTGAAGCTATCTGTCGGTAAATGCACTCTGAAAGTTCATTGTACCTGGACAGGAAGTTACGTGTAGAACCTGTCATTCGTCAAGGATTTATGTGCAATTAAAAGCACATGAATGGCTGCATTTTGCACTTTTTCACTGACATGGCGTAATGTGCTGAAACATCCCTTTCAGCATTTCCGCGTGACAGGCAGTCAGGTTTTTTTTTTCTAATCCTGTCAGTTCTGACCAATGAAAAAAAGTAAAGTAAAGTCTGTCCCGAGCCAATGTGGCTCATCAGGCCGGCGTTTTCAGTAGCATGAAACGACTGAGAATATTTCTACTCCCCCTGGATGGGATGCTAGTCCATCGCAGGTTACTCCCCAGCTAATGCCGGTACCCATTTATACTCCTGGGCGGAGAGGGGCAAGTGGGGGTGAAGTGCCTTGCCCAAGGACACAATATATGACCAGCGGCTGGATTCGAACCCCGGACCCTCTGATCATGAGTCACGAACCCTAAGCACTAGGCCACACACTCCCCTTGATGAAATGAAAACAATGAAAATAATTTAGAAAAGTCTTGACAGGGATTTTTTTTTGGCATGTTGGTGGGATAGAATGTACACTGAGGACACTGAATGACAATGAGATGGGAATGATGATGCAGCTTGTCCTGAGGTTACAAACATGCACCAGACCCGTCCCCGGAAGGGCCAGGCTCCACTGGCAAGCAATTGCCCCCCCCCCCCCCTCTGGCAAAAGCCCAAAGCGTCATAAGTATATGAAATTTTGTTTTTTTTCTTGTGGTGTGCCCCTCAACGGGTACTGTGCTCCCCCCCCCCCCAACCCTCCACAATGCCCTGAGCTGGCAACAGGACTGCCATGTAAGTACTGTCAAATAAAAGAGTTGCAAGAAATTTGAAGGACATGAACAAACAATTTGAAGACGCCAATAGGACAACGGAAATCCTTAATGATCAAACAAATTTCCATGCTTGTTTTGTTTTTTAAAGCTTGTTTTCAATTTAGCTTTTTTTTCCCTCGGTGTTCACCCCCCCACCCCCCAGTAAACGTTTTTCTCAGGTAATTTTTTTTTTAAATATTTGTATATAGTTAATGGTTTTAATATTTATGCTCATGCATTTTTTAGTTTGATTCCATTCCGGTAATTGGCGGTGCGTCCGCTGTTGGATGTGGTTGATAAATAACCAAATAAATAAATAATGAATTGAATAAATAAATGAATACACTAGGTACATGTAGACGCACTATGAACTTGTACTTTAATATTGAAAGAAGTTTTGTTGCAGCCATCTTTAAAGTAGCCTTGGTCAAGGCGTTAGATGATAGTGTCCGATGATCGATGGTTGGCCGCTAACATAAACAGAAGCCACGCGCTAAGCACGCACACGTACTGTACATGTACATGTATGAAGCGCGAACAGTGACCTCAAGCAGCTAGGCTAAATACGCAAATCAGTTGGAGCAACCGTTACGATCTTTTTCGGACAGTTTTCATTATTGTTCCTGGATGTATATCGAGTGATATTTGGTCCGTGCACTCCAAACTTGTTGGAGAATGTAGCCACACTATCAAGCTCTCCCTCCATGTGAAATATGAGCCTCCACGACCAAGTACTGAATAATAATCTCATCTTTATTCGGATATGCGGCCGTCATTGGAAATCCAGTGACAAAATAAAGAAAAAACATAAGCCAAGGCGTACGGTTGTTTCAAGGCATGCGTTCAGCACCAAATTATTTGCATATTGTAGTCTAGTCACGTGTGGTCGCTATTCGCGCTTCACACAGTACATGTACATGTGTTACGTGAGTGCATAGCACGCGGCTACTGTTTTATGTTAGCGGCCGACCAACGATCATCGGACACTATCGCCAAATGCCTTGACCAAGGCTAACTTAAAATTGGATGCCTGTGTTCCAAAAGTAATTGCATGTATATATATATACATGAACATGTATGCAGACATGTGAATTCATTGTTACTCAGTTGAAATAACAAATAGCACTTTGAAGACGGGTACTGAAAACAAATCATCCATCCAGAAATGGGACGAAAGACGAAAGTGAATGTTTAACTCTCACCTCTACCAACACCCAGAATTCATACCACGAATTCAAGCCTCACTCTGCAGTTTTCCCCCTCCCCTCCCCCTCCTCTCCCCCCTCCTCTCCCCCCCCCCTCTCTCCCCCCCCTCCTCTCCCCCCCCTCCTCCCCCCCTCCTCCCCCCTCCCCCCTCCTCTCCCCCACCCTCCTCCCCCCTCCTCTCCCCCACCCTCCTCCCCCTCCCCCCTCCTCTCCCCCCCTCCTCCCCCCTCCCCCCTCTCCCCCCCTCCTCCCCCCTCCCCCCCTCTCCCCCCCTCCCCCCTCCTCCCCCCCCTCCCCCTCCCCCCTCTCCCCCCCTCCCCCCTCTCCCCCCCCTCCCCCCTCTCCCCCCCCTCTCCCCCCCCTCCCCCCCCTCCCCCCCTCTCCCCCCCCTCTCTCCCCCTCCTCCCCCTCTCCCCCCCTCCTCCCCCCCCCCCCCCCCCCCTCCCCCCCCCCCCAATAGAAAGAACGCATGTTAATGTTGGTATCATCCACATCAAAAGGTGTACAGGCAGCCAAAACTACACAGCTCACATGATTTCCCCTGACTCAGAATCCTTTATACGTTACTGCCTGCTGGAACATTTTCGTGCGATTGAATTACAAGTCGGAGAAATGTCTTAATGAAATTGCTGAGAGCTAAAAGAGGAGCATGGTGCTGTATGTCACTGTGCTGGCTGGCTGGAAAAAAAATTGCCAATTCCTGGGCTGATTGGAACGTGGCGCAATCAGGTGGAAATGCATTGAATTCTCGGAACTTTTTTTTGTTCTACCTTTGCTTAGTCATTTCTTTGTAATGGAGTAATTCTGATATGGCTATTCCACAGAAAGTTGTTTGGAACACATTATGTCTTCTCTGGTGTCGTAAACAATCTCTTTCATGATTAGCAAAAAATTGACGTATGTGAAGCTACAATGCTTGTCAAACCATGGACGAAATTATACATCACATTGGCTTAGCCAGGATATAATCAACAAGAAAGTTTTTAAATTCTTGAAATTAATATATCTGGAAATATAGCCGCTAATCGAGCCGCTAATCGTGGCACTGTGAGACAGTCATCTACAGGTACATGTAGAAGTTATTTGAATTAGATATTTATTTTGAACATTATTTTTAGTGTCTACAGTACATTTGTGCAGATGCCATATTTGTGAAGAGAAGTACCGGTACATGCACAAATGAGATGTACAGGTACAAACATAACATACATGTACATGTACATGTACATATTAACATGAAGAGAATTGAAATACATGTACGTGTGCAATATTTTATCCGTGGTACATATCATACATGTATGTCCGTATACATGAGTTCAATAATTATAAATGTGTAAGCAACCTATATTATACATGTACGGTACATGTAACCATTCTTGAAGTAAGTCTTGTAACTTGACAAGCAG